GGGGGGGGGGGGCGGATAGGGAAGTTATTAATCTTAGATCTTGGTATTATAGTCCTTTGTTGCTTTGCTTCTAAACTAGTTACTATGTATATCTTTTTTGTGGGTATAAATAAATGTTTAAAAAGAAAATATATTTTACAAAATTTAAAAGAATTTACTCTTATAGCTATCTAAGTTTCAGATAGCTTATTTTCTTCAAACTACTGACCACACGTTGATTGTAGCCACTTGTAGTAAAGTTCTTGGTGAGTAAACATTTTTCCTAAACTCCATGGCCAGATTCAGCTTGAGAAGCTACTAAAATAGAAAATCCATCTTACTTTGAGCTCATTTAAACAGACAGCCTCAAAGTAGGTTTCCATAGTAGTCATTATCTTTAAAATCTGCCTTCTCTGGTTCATTTCAAATAGGAAAATACGTCCTTGAAACATGCTAGAGCCCTGGCTGGTGTGGCTCAGTTGGTTGGAGCGTGGACCTGTACACTGAAAGGTTTCGGGTCCGGTTCCCAGTCAGGGCACATACCTGGGATGCGGGTTCGGGGCGTGTACATGGGGTGGGGCACATTGATGTTTCTCTCTCTAAAAATCAATAGAAACATGTCCTTGTGTGAGAATTTTGTAAAAAGCTGGGAATATGGGTAATATAGATGAAGAAAGGGTATACTAAACCAGATAGTGAGGTTATGATGTCTGTACGATCATTTTCCTTTCTAACAGTTGTCATAAAAGCCATTTGTTCACAAGTAACGTCAAGTTTTAACTTTGAAAGTTCACAGGCAGCCTGTGCGAGGCAGTGTCCACGAGCAGGACTCCCGTCAGAAAACTAGGAGTCTGGAGGCGAGGTGTGGAACAGCGCCGTCAGGTAATTCCCTGCCTGCTGTCTTCTCGGGGATCCTGGATATACAGAGCCTTCCCTGAAGGACTGCTCCCTGTGTCACTGAGGAATGATGACAGTAAAAGGCCGAATTGCAGTGCACCCCTCAGCAGTGTGCTCTCTGGGTGCACAATGACAGCATCTCCTGAAGCGAACCACTGGTCTGACCTCAGCACAGGACTGAAGCTTCGTGCTTCAGGCAGGAGCTCCGGGGAGGCCCCACAGACTGATCCGTGCATCTTGACACTGGGCCTTAGACGGGTGCTAAATGCCCCTCTGCACTCCGCGGGGCTTGCCGGGTCAGGCGGCTCACAGCAATAGACCTTCAAGGGCAGGTGTGTCCCCATGTGACGAAGGACCCAGTGTGACCCAGCCTCCCAGTTAGGCTGGCTGGCTTTGGCAAGTCTATCTGCTCAGTGAAGGCTGAGATTAAATCAGTATGTGCTAGCACTCGAGGCATCGTGTATTGGTTAAAAGCAGTTTCTGCAGGCTCGGTGTAAACCCTCTGTGATTTACAAGGCACAGGATGCCGGCCTGAACCAAAGCTAGTCTTGTGGTATAATGTGTGTCTGACACAACCGCCAATTAGAAAAGCACCTACACCTTTCCTAGTTTAGTTTTTGAAGTTTTTTAAAAAAATAAGCATTTCACTTTTAGAAATACTTGTGTATTAGCAGTTGTAAAAATGAAGTATTTACAGTGTCAGTGTACAGCTAGAAATATACTTATTCTAAAGACAAAGTATTATGTACGTTGTGAGTTGAGAAAAGTGTATTTGCATTAATTTAAAATAAGACTAGAAAGGCAATCCATTCTTTTTGATGAGTTGTAGGCTTGTGTTACGGGCTAGTGAGAACCCTGGGAGCACCATTCCTGCGGGCGGACTGCAGGTACTGAGTCCCAGGACTGTGAACTGCTTTTGGAAGCACCTTGGTTGGTTCGAGAACAGTGACTGCACAGACCAACCAGACAGAAAATGAGATCAGCAAAGTCTTAAATAGAGGGCGCAGGAACGTGAAGGGGCATGTAAACGCTCTTTCGTGATACCCTTAAAATGTGATCCTAAAGGGATGCCACTCAAAACATTATTTAAAATATGGGGGGGCAAAAGTAGGTGTACAGCTGTTTGCATGGAAAATAATACGATAACAACACAAGAGTAAACTGTTTTGCATACTCACAACTGTGAACCCACTGCCCCAGCCCGCAGGTGTGTGGCCCTCCACCCGAAGGGAGGGCAGGTCGTCACGGGACGTAGGGAGTGGTACGTGCAGCGGAGAATCCAGGAACATGTGCCCCGGAGAACAGTGAGGGAGCCATCTCTTAAGGTGGGTGGGATAACATACTGTTACGAAAAATTATTTGAAATAGTTGTATTTTAAGGTGCCAGATACTGTTTTTGAAGTAACTTTTCTGTCCTGTTACTTAGTTTTGTTTTCTTTTTAACAGGTGGTTTGAAGATATTAAAGAAATTGGAACTAGAAAACCCAGAGAATTCAAGTTGGTTTTTTTTTTTAAGATAAGTTAAACTCAACTCCTCTGAATACACTTAAAAGTTGGTTGCACACACACAAAATAAAAGGGGGAAAAAGGCAAAACAACAAGCATTGATTGCAGTTGTTAAACCCCATGATTATAGTTTCTTGTATCTCAAGTAAACTTTCCTCTGGTGCTAAGCATGTTTAATGAAGAACCTTTTGCTGGTGTTCTGAATGTAAATTTTGACGGGTTCATATGTTCTCTAAATATAACTACTATTCTTTGTAAGCTATTTAAAATAAATCTGCAAGTCTTTCCTCATTCAAGTAAACACCAATACTGTGGTCTTTCACTGCTGAGTCCATGTCTGCCATTTGCCCACTGAAGTTTATTTGTAACCCTAAAGTCCCTCTGGGCAGCGTGTTCGCAATTGTTTGTGGACGTGCAGACAGTGAACATTTTGAGTCACCCAACGTGCACGTCCCAGGTGAGGTGGAACAACTGCCAGCATGTTTTTTTCGTGGTCTATTTACTGCCACATTTTCTGAAACTGCTTTTGTCGGTGACTTCAGTTTAGTGTTTCAGTGCCATCTATTATTCCCGCAGCAGGCTGTGACGTGCCTACAGAGAGGACGTTAGATCAGCTGCGTTCAGGCAGGAGTTCCAGGGCTGGTGGCCGAGTTCAGCGTCATCAGCATCAGGAGGTCCTGCAGCCTGAGGTTGGGTTGCTCCCAACAGTGGCAGCAGTTGAAACTCTGCCATCCCAAAAAGTATCTGAATAATGAATTTTATCTCCTCCAATGCTAATATGCAAAAGTGATGCCCGCTTTTAGGGACTGAGAGAAATCAAGTCTGTTGCCGTTATTTTAGATGTCTGAAGGTGCTCCTATTATATCAGCTTGGGTCCTTATTTTCAGGAAATATATTTGCAAGTCCCCTACTTTCATAAGGGGGTGCCTAAGATAAAATTTATTATAAACGTAGGAGTACTCCTCTTTGCCAATATTAAAAGATTGGAACTTCAAACCAAAGTATATGCCTTGAAAATACCTCAGTACATGAAGAATTTCTCAGTTTCTTCAAGAAAAAAAATACATTCAAATACAGAATTTATAAAAAAGAACTTTAATATAAGGCACTGTTGTCCAGAGTTAAATGAGGGCCAGGAGCCCCATGACGCCCTCTTGCTCTCCGACTCCTCAGACCCACCACAGGCAGAGGGCACAGACCCCACTCAGAAACAGTTTCACATGACAGTTCCTCAGTGACGACATTACATCCCAAAGCACTGACTGACGGGTTTCCTTAAACCAAAAATGACCACCTTAGACTAGTAACCGAAGAACCAATGAACACCTCAACAGAGAAAACCAGAAAACCATACAGCTGTTACAACCCTGACCGAGGTTTCTAAGGGTTGCCAAGTTGTAAAAGGCCCAAGAAACGCATTTATTCTTGTTCTCTATTAAGTCCTGTAACAAAAAGGGTTAAATCTCAAGTCAGTCCTTCCCAGACTCCGCTTAAGGAGAAGCTCAGAGCTACCTGCACAACGGTTCCAGGATCAAACTTCTGGTTGCCGCTAGATTCAGAAGCATTCCACCGATTTCACCTCAAGGGCAGTACAATGAATTCTTACTCGTTAAGTACATTTACACTGGAACCTTAGGAAAACTGGGTTCTTGACTTAATCAGAAGCCTGTGATTTGTTTTAAAAGAAACAGGCACCTTGCTTTTTAGTGCTAAAGACCTCATCTATTTTTCTGCAATCTTTTTTTGGATAACCATTCTGTGTAACACACCTAAAGACATTTTTCCAAGTTCTTACCAGAAATTCTTCTAAAGGAAAAAGTCACCCAGGAAAGTAAAACTTTGCTTTAAGTAGCTAAAGTTGTTTATATGTATCACAACAAACAACCCACTCAGGGTTTTAACAGTTAAAAATAAATCACAGTACAGCTGAACAACGAATGGGGTGGTTCTGAAGAGGTATTATTTGGACATTTTGGTCTCAGAAGGTGTTTCCCCAGTATCCAGTGTCTTCAACAACCGGAAAAGGCCAGCAGCTTCTCGTATCCTACTGAACTCGATACAGAACGCCTGCACTTCTATGAACAAGTCCTGCACGTTTATAATTTTGTTACGGATCAAGGACTGGAGAAAGACACACACAAGACGCACCAAACGATTCTGAAAAAGAAGAAAAATTTAGTGTGCCCATTTTCTTGGCAGGTTATTTATAAAATTTACTAAAGTTTCTATTACTTACCTGCATATATTTATCCTTAATTTGTTCACAAGTAGAGATGCAATTTGATATATAAAGGTGAATAAATTCAGGAGGTAGATCAACAGCTGTAGTCAGTCTGTTTCATAAAGTTAGAAAATTAGGGTGGTTCATTTTATTTGCTACCATTAAAAACACTGTTAACCATAGAATATAAAGTGTCCTTTGGACACTTAGTGTAAACTGATGATGATGACCAATTACCTTGTTTTAAATATACTTAAGCAAATAACCCTAAGAACCACACCCCTTTGTTAATGAATGACACTAATTAAATGCATTGTAATTACTCATTAAGCAGTCAATTCTTTGAGCACCACGTCTCTGTTTTGGCTGAATCGTAATTCAGTTATTTCTTCCAAGCTCTAATAATCCTGGCAGTTATCTGTTCATTTACTAAACCCCAGTTACATAGGTGCTGTGCTACGCAGGGTGTGGGAAGGTGCAAGTTCAGTAACTAAACTACAACGTACAAGTAAATGCTAAAACGAGGCACTTGCAAAAAGAGGAACAGAATAATGTGAG